TTATATGATATGATATCATATCATGTTATATTATATTATATCATATCATATTATATTTGCTTGTACAGTGGCTCCTCCACTAGTTGTCGCTCCTGCGCATGCGCACTGGGGCGGTCCACTGCCATGGTCCCGTCCAGGGACGTGTCGTGCTGGTGTGTTGTTGTTTTTCAGGCTTCTATCTTTTTCGATATCCAACATTTGAACAACGAATCCACGCCGAAGGACATAACGAAGAGCGTCGCTCTTTTCCAAACTCAAACACTTCACTTTTCCCTCTTCTGACGATGTATGGAGACGTAAGTTAGCATGGCCAACGTTAGCATTGTGATAAACCTGGCTGACAGTAGCTCACCAGGCGTTTGAAACATCTCGTGTGTGTGTGTACGTGTTGGGTTATAAACATGAACTCTGCCTTTGGCTGTTTTCAAACCAGGTCATTTAATTTGACAGGCCGATTAATACAGAAGCAGAATTCAGCAGAACACTGTTACTGATGGACTCTAGCTGTTGTTGAGTTCAGGTAAGCTAACGTGGCTAACGCCGCCTACGTGTGTTTCTTAATGTGCGTTGATGAATACTGAATATGAACCATGTCCTCATAACAATCTGCTGCACTAGTTGTATATGAGGCCAAGACAACATCGTGTAGTTGCAGTAGAAATAGACAGAAGATCGTGATATGCTAATGTTGTTTACTTTGTTTAGTTGTTTTTCCAGGATGAACGACATGAACCTGAGTCCTGTGGGCATGGATCAGCTCAGTGTGCCAGTGAGTGCCGGCCACCTGGTTCTGCCAACGTCCCCCACACACAACCCCATCCCCACTCCAGGTATGGAAGACATTAACAGGAGTGTAGGCCTGAGTCTTAATTTATCCTAAAAACTTATTGGGTCACTTACCTATTCAGAAAAGAGTGATGGAGAAATACAACACATTCAGATAACGTTGTAAACTTGCTGAAACAATGTGTCCAGATTGCACCTGACAAAATTATTCATATGATTTAAAGGAGAAAATCTGAATTAAACTGCTTTACGACTGGCTTTGTTTGAGAATGGAAAACGTCAGGGTCAGATTATTTTTTTCCAGAACTTTTCCCGCCCGCAGGAAAATGCTCTGGCCGGTGAGTGTTGATGTTTCTAACATGTGATGGATGCAAAACAAAAAAAATGCAGAAATAATTCGACTTGTCATTTCCTGCCTCCTGCTGTTGTGAACGTATCTGATCCAGACAATATCCCGCTGCATTCATCATACATGTGAAAGGCAATCTCAGTTCATGTCTGAAAACGTTTTTATAGACAATAATTGCATTTAACAATCTCTAATGTGTTGTGTAATCCCTTTTATTAATGCATCGTAATCTTTTCTGTGTTGTATTCTGCCCTCACTGTTCTGTTGATGTAAATTTTGGTTTAGGCATGCCAGTGGCCATCCCCAGCCTGGGTCCTTCCCTGGGCTCCCTCCCTTCTGCCCTGTCTCTGATGCTCCCCATGGGTCCACTGAGTGACAGAGGGGTGATGTGTGGCCTGCCGGAGAGGAACTACTCCTTGCCACCCCCTCCATACCCCCACCTGGAGAGCAGCTACTTCCGACACATATTGCCAGGTCCGTGTGTAAAATATATAGATCATTTCTATTGAAAATCTAAAAGATTATGTGTGATATTCTTGTAGTTTGGGTCCTTGTTGAATCTGGATTTGACTCACATGCTGTTTGGAGGGTACACATTTCCCTGTTAACTTTTTAAGTTAATGAAAAACATGTTCTTTTTCTTTCTTCTCTATATAGGTATCCTGTCTTATCTGGCAGACCGTCCACCACCTCAATACATTCATCCCAGCAGCCTTAACATGGATGGGACCCTGTCAGTGGCTAGCAACAATCCTTCCGGTCTGGACCCCTACAGTGGCCCTGGAGGCCCACTAGAGCAGGGCCTGGTGCCCATGGATTCCAGACAGGTCAGCGGGCAGGGAGACCTCCACCAGACCGGTGCTCACGAACTGGACTCCACGGGAATGGCCATGGAGTCACGTGTCAGCAGCCCCATGTCCCCTGACAGGATGGGGGAGGAGCTGGCTTCTATGGATGGAGTTGGGGTGGTGTCTGACACCCAGCAGCAGCTTGGTGGAGGAAGACAGCCTCAGCCGCATGAGGGCTTGGCTGGGGTGGACTCATCTGGTGGCGTGTTGCCTCTCCACAGGCCCCCCGTGCTTGAGCTACCAGTGGTAATGGAGCCAGATCACATGGGGGGCAGAGTTGGAAACGCTGGCGGAGGAGGACTTGGGGAGCAGCTCCACTCAAATGGGGAACTGAACTCTGGAGTTGTCAGTGTGGTGCTCACTGGCTCCATGGCCAGTCAGGGCCAGCTGGAGCCGGTGCCTCTCCATGGACACTCTGGGATGGGGCTGGAGTCAGTGAACGTGTCCCCCATCAATGCAGACGTGTCACTGGGGCCAGAAAACAACCTGGTGTTGGTGAACTCCACCTTGCAGCTCGAGGACTCTACCTCCAACAAGGAGAACATGGTCACCGCCTACACCATCTGTGAGTTTGGATTTTTATTCCCAAAAGAAAAGAAAGAAATCATATATGGCTATAAAGCTTTAAAAAAATATTCAGGAAAAACTTACACCAAATTGAAAGTTGTAAAAATCTGTCATAGATTTTGATCCTGTAGTAAATATTGTGCTGGTTTGTCGTCTCCCAGGGTGCACTCTGTGTGAGCGCTCGTACACCTCAGACTGCCCAGAGCACGGCCCTGTCACCTTCATCTCTGACGCACCCATCCAAAGCCGGGCTCGCCTCTCGCTGCCACGTCCACTGTGCCTTCGCATCTCAGTGGCTGATGAACCACTTGGTATGAGAATACACCCATTTAAACACTGTGCCTGTTAGACTAGGAAAGACCTGGGTCATTATTCTGTGGACTGATCTAATATAATAAAGACTGAACTTGACCCTTATATAGATCATCATTGAAATTGCTGATGTGCCCACTGTAGGAGTTTTTGCACGGGACGTCATTCCTCCAAGGACTTGCTTTGGACCAATGGTTGGCCAGCATTGTAGCAACGTGGATCTGTCTGATTGGCCAGAAAAGGACACACCGCAGATATGGAAGGTCGGTACCTGTGGCTTTTTTGTTCTAAGCATGAGATTTTCATAGTTCTAAGTAGTTGAAGATGATGAGCCATTTCTTCTGTCGCAGGTGTATCACAACAATGTGCTGGAGTTCTACATCGTGACAACAGATGAGAACCAATGCAACTGGATGATGTTTGTCCGCAAAGCAAGGTAAGAGGCACAATAGCAGCCGGGCTCAAAATGTCAATGGTTTGACTCTAGAATCAGTTGATATGTAGCTGTATGGCGGGAGAGAAACCTGTGCGCAGCAAAAGACCATGTAAGATACAAAAGTGACGTTCAGTTCCCTGTCCAGATGATCAGCGTTCTGATTGTTGTCGTTTCAGTTTAGCTAAATAGTTAATTAACTGTTCTTTATTTGCTGTTTGTATTTAGGGCCCGTGAGGAGCAGAACCTGGTGGCGTACCCTGCCAATGGTAAACTGTTCTTCTGTACAACCACAGAGATCCACCCAGACCAGGAGCTGCTCTTCTATTACAGCAGAGACTACTGCAGGATGATGGGTGAGATAATAGATGAGTAAAAATCTATGGTTCTGATTTGAAGCATGTAGAGACATAAAATAAAAAAAATTCTTAAAGGTTCGGTGTGAAGAACTTAATGGCATCTAG